AATTTGGGACGAATTTTGAACCATCAAAAGACGATTTCTTAAATTCAAATCACGAAGAAGCTGATACTCGTATCTTATTGCACATATTGTCAGCCAAAAATTCGGGGCATTCACGCTGCATTATTAATTGGAACGATACAGATGTTCTAGTCTTAAAAATTTATTTTAAGAAGCATTTGACTAAAGAGATATGGTTCAGAACAGGGCGAAGAGACTCAAGACGATTTCTAGCAGTACATGATTTAAATTTAGATGATACCTTCTAGAAAATTTGCCTGATTTTCATTCTCTGACCGGTTATGATACAACCAGCCAATAGTCTGGCATTGGGAAAAGAAAACATATCCTCTAATCTTGAAAAATGTTTCATAAAAATTTATTCAAAAATTGCCAATGTTACTTCCATTAACATTTTGAGGGGTTTAATGGCCTCTTTAAAAACCATTGCTAAATTGCCACCGACTTAAGACGACCTAAGATTACATTGTTTAAGATGTTTTCACCAGCTAAATATTTGGCTAAGCTCTTTAAAGCCGCAGGTGCAGCTTCCTAATGTTAAAGAGTATGAATAAAAAGTAGATCAAGATGGAAGTCTGATACCCACTCTAAGACTCTGTCCGACCTGCCACCAGACATAACAGAACTTACATCATGCAAATGCAAAAAAGGTACTATACACCGATAATTTTCATAGATGTACAATATTCTAACAATATTATTCTGTTCTAGACTAAGAAAGCAAAATTTGCAAATGCAGGAAAAAAATATGGGCTGTATCGGTTCCTGCACCTACCTGTATGGCACAGAAAAACTGTAGAAAAAGTTTGACCACAGTCGCTAATGTTTTGGAAAATGTTGATTCGTGTGGTGAATCTTATTCTGATTAGTTTAAAAGTCTTGTACTATAAATTTTAATATTATTAATATATGTTTTATATACTTTTAATTATTCTTATTATAATGTTTTTTACATTGGGAATTTATTGTATTTTGCAAAGCAATAGCCTTACTGTTTATAATCGATACTTACATGGGTCCTTTTCAATAACTTTTTAATTTGGGTGATCTTAACGATTACACCTACATCTCTCAATATATTTAGCAAAATGTTTCCAACGATTTATAGTTTGGTACCTAGCCGACTATGACAAAAACAAAAGTTTACAAATAGTTTATGTCTTATATATATAAACACAGTATATAGTGTTTATACCTTCAATAAATAGTTCATATTTTCTTATTTTTTATTTTCCTCAAAAAATAAAAAATAAATCATAGCGTATAAATCAATAATCCGTGTATAAAATAATATGAGAGAGTCAAACTGATTGCATACATTTTAGCACTGAGAGAGAACAATAGAGACTGAGAGACTTTACTTTACGTTTGCTTTCTAGTTAAACCATGACATAACTAATTGTTTATTGCTATATTTTTGTTATTATTAAAGCAAAAAATATGGCGAAAGCACTGTTACCTTGTTAATACATTGGCGAAACTTTTATGAGGAATAGTTTTTTCTCATTTAGGCCTTCGCTTTTCGTCAAATGAGAGGTATATTTCTAAAAAAAGATTTTTATACAAATTTGTGGACGCTTGAAACCGAGATATTGACGTTTAAATTTTTTTTCGACCATAAGGGCTAATGCAAATGATTTTTTTTAAATAATTATAAAAAAATACTTCCTACAAAGACCTTATTGTGCATTACAACAAAAAAATAAGCATTTTTTTTTCTATATGGTGGTATCAATAACTCTATTTTTTATGATAGTGCCCTTTTGCACTGTCTAATTTTGTATTACCTCCGGAATAAGGGTAAGCTTATCATGTACTTTCATTCCTGAAAAATTCAGCTTGTGACACCGAAGTGGGAGGCAAAGTCAAAAAAATTTCAATCTATACCATACAAAAGCCCGTACCTGCGAGTTTAAAAGAATACATTTTTATTCGCAAATGCGAAAATGCAGAACGTATATTTGTTACTTAGTTGCTAACTAGAGGCAGCACCTCTCGGATAACTTTATTTTGTCTCTCTCTGGGAGGACTTGTTCAGACTTCTCTGTTCCAATGCACGCCCTTAATGCATTGTTAAAAAAAAATAACAGACCTAATTATTTTTCTATTTCACTCTTCCTACAATACACACAGAGATGGGACTAATAGGAAAGTAAAAGTAGACATTTGGCAACATAATTTAAATTTTCTGAATTTATTGGTACACGTCACGGGCCATAGGGGGCATAAAATTTTTACTTTTAACTTCGGTCTCCGATGATAGCTGAACGAAAAAATTTTGCTAAAGTACTTTATAAGTGGTAAAGTTTAAAATGGCGTAATAAAAAATTTTTACTGTTATAGTCCATTATGCATATGCAAGATTATGAAAAAACTAGATTTAAAATTTTATTTGAATGTTACAACATTTATTCATTATTTTTGTACTATTTTTATATTTAATAAACTTAATATGATCGCTTTTTGGAAAAGCAATAAACAAGCAACTGACCTTGTGCCATTTTTGTAAAATCTGTAACAGCTATCTTGTCGAATTAATTTTATTTCATCTATGTCATCAAAAATGTTTCATTGTGTTGTCATTTAAACTTAAATAAAACATGCATATTTCTATCTATCGGAATTAGGGTGTAGTTTAAAGCCCACTTGAATTGAAGCTTTATAGGCTTTTTGTACCCCTCTGACACACGGCTCTGAATTAAATCGGCTAAACAGCAATAAACGTATGCAGTTTTGGTGAGGATACTTATGATTTGTTTTTAGGTCGGATACTTATTGTGGGATATTTATAAGGCATATATCCCATCAATAAATAAATACGAATTCATGAAAATATAATTTTAAAATAAATTGTATGTCATGACATGTGTATATAAATTGTAAATTCTAAAGTCATAAGTATTATAAACAATATTTTGTTTCCCTCGCGATGAGTTCAACCTTTTGTCTTTGCTAGAACTGCCACGAAAGGTTATCTAAATGATGACGGCAATTTAATGTGTATGACGTAATGAAAATGAAAAAGGTATGTAGTGCAAGTATGTCGCTACATACCTCCCCCTTATATAAAAAATGTATTGTCAGTCATCAAAAGTCGATAAGGTGTTGATTGTTGCATATTTCTATATCTACGAGTACCTTCACCTTAATCAAAACAAAATTTTAATATGACTCTGTATATGAAATTGATTGAAATTTTTAATTTAATTGTCAAAAATATGTCATCAGTAATGTCAGTATTTTCTATAAATAATGTTGTATTTTAGATCGTGTTCTGGATGAATTATCCATTCTTTGATTATCGAAATTGCCCCGTTGTTAAGTGTTTAGTAATACTATGTTATCTAGCAGGTTCTTTCTATTATATAAAGAATACTGCCATTGATACAATTAAGAATTACCATACTATTAGGACAGTTAGTGTCCTAAATAGAAAAACATTAACGAAAAGAAGGCATTAATAGTTAAACATTCTACGATCTAATAGAAAGTAACGTTAATCATGAGGTACAAATAGAAATATGATTTTTTTTAAATCTTTATTCTTTAAATATCAATGTGTAAATGTACCTATTTGATAAGTTAAAATTTTCTTTTTATTTAGTTATTTGTTTTTTATTTAGTAATTACTATTATGTAGACAGGTTCTTCCTTATGCGAGGAATACTGTCAAAACAAGATATAAGTAAATACTAATTTTGTTGTTCTCTTGGACAATTATGGTCCTTAATAGAATAAAAAAAATATTAAATACACTAGTTACATGTAGTTGGACAATTAAAGTCCTTAATAAAACTACTGGTTGCATATATTTGGACAATTAGGGTCCGTAATAAAAAATGTTAGTTGCATGACTTCGGTTATGTAGTGTTTATTTGCGTTTCGTTTGTTTGTACGTTTATTTCATAATTAAGTCGTCATGATTAAAAATGATCATTTGGAGAGTTTACTAAATAGTCGGTTAAAATGCTTTTTACATGGTCAAAAATATGAAAATAATGTCAAAAATGATAACTAATGATAGAAAAAATGAATATTTTCAATTCGTGGCAGTCAGCGACAAAAGAACTCACCGGGTTTAATGTATCTGGAGTCCAATCCACGTATCTTGTTTGGAACTTTTCGGAATTTTCCGGAGACGTACTGGATCTACATTTCTTCTTAGTAGGACCCGTTAAAGAATCCGGGTTATCGGGAACCGCAGCAGGCTCAAAAAACCGAGGTACGGCCAAAAATAAAGCCGTCGCTAACGCGTACTATCCATAAGTATCTCACCAACAAATAGTATCACATAGATGTATCCTCAAAATCTTTGAAGGTCGGGCATTCTACGGGGTCACCAATTGTGGGATATTTATAAGGCATATATCCCATCAATAAATAAATACGAATTCATGAAAATATAATTTTAAAATAAATTGTATGTCATGACATGTATATATAAATTGTAAATTCTAAAGTCATAATTATTATAAACAATATTTTGTTTCCCTCGCGATGAGTTCAACCTTTGCTAGAACTGCCACGAAAGGTTATCTAAATGATGACGGCAATTTAATGTGTATGACGTAATGAAAATGAAAAAGATATGTAGTGCAAGTATATCGCTACACTTATGATTTGTTTTTAAGTCAGATACTTTCTGAACAGACCTCGAATGTGGTTTATAATCTAACGATAATTGAATACCTGCCCCAAACAAGGTTGTAACTAACAATCTTTCAGAAAGGGTGCTATAAGCATGAAAAAATATTTTAAGCAACAATATAATACGTTTCTTACAGCAATCTGCCTAAAAATCCATATTATTAAGGATCATTTTAGCTTACGAAAGTTGCCTAGACCAGAAAAAAGTGTTTTAGATTAATGGCTTTGTTATTATGAAAATGTTGATTGTAAAATTTGTTTTTTGATCGTTACAACCTTGTTCGGATCAGTTATTCATTTATTGTACAAAAGTTTTATGCAGTTCCATTTTTTAGGCATCGGTAGTCATATTTTAATACACGAAGCTACAATGGAAGACGAACTTTGTCACGAAGCCACACTAAAGATGCACTCAACGACAAATCAAGCTATATGTATCGGTAAGAGAATGAGGGCCAAACACATTATTCTCACCCATTTTAGTCAGAGGTATGCTAAGTTGCCAAGATTTAGTGAGAACTTTGGAGCCAATGTCGGTATTGCATTTGATAATATGCATGTAAGTTTTATGAGCCATATTTATATACAGGCTAAATATCATGTTAACATTAAAGAAGGTAATTTCAAGGGTAATTTATACTGGATTAGATTAAAATTAATAAGTGGCGTTGCGGAGGCCAATCTAATTTATATGTAATTTTAACGCCCATTCGATATACATTTTTGGATGTATGGACGTCCAAAAATGAGATTTGATGAGTTTTGTCTGGACTTCCGACATTTGATGGAAATCCAGTGGAGTATACAAATGGCACACCTTTGACCAGTCAGAGGACGTCCCTTTGTGGATTATATTCAGACATTGCACATCCACACAATGAACGGTAAACCATGACAAATAAACGTCCATTGAACGTTTTTTATTAGATACTGGACGTTCAAATGATGTCCTTTTCTGGATTATATTTGGATATTGCAAAATTAAACTGTCCAATGGCATTACATTACTTGAGACCACCCCTACACTATTTATTCCGTATATAAGCCTTACCTATATAAGGGCATGCTGTCACTTCTCTTTTTACTTTTAAAATATCAATTTAAAATATTGTTACGCCGGTTTTTTGGTGTCTCAATTTATTCCAACTAAACTTTAACAATAATTATAATAATAATAATCTCCCTAATTCACCCCCGTACGAGTGAATTTTAACCCCAAAAGCTGAGCTTGTGCGGGGAAAGGGACGGCTATTATTATTATTATTTGCCGTGGCGCTCCGGGGCGACTTAAAGATGATTGATGGTGCCATTTGACTTACAGGTGAGGAAAACGTCAGGTCGTCGACTTATATAGCTCGCCTCAACCTTCTCGAACAATCCGGATTTTTCTTTGACAAGGAGTGACATTTCGAGACATTTCTGGACTATTCTATCTTCTTCATTTACTCGTACCTTTACTTATGACGACCGCAGCACGCTACAGGGTGCTGCGTAACAATACATACAATTCATTAAGTATGATGTATTAACAGAATAAATGTACTCTAACGCGCGATCTTCGAAAGAGCTTCAAGAACTTCCTCTGTTTGACTACTTGGACAACTAACCGCTGTCCTAGCCCGTTACACCATCTCTAAATTATTAAATTTGTATGCCAGTGCCATCTCCTTGTCAATCAACATTATATGGCAGTTATTGGCTACTTTGGCGATCGATATTTAAAAATTTAATTCATGTAATATATTTTGCAGATGAAAATATATATTTCTGGGTATAATTTTTTAAGTGTAGGAGTTTCATTTTGAAAAAAAATGTACCATTTGCCTTATTACATTCTTTGCCCAAGTTTCAATAAAGGTCTTGTTTCTTCCTGGGGGCTTTTTCGGATGTGAGATTTCTCCAATAACTGTATCTTCTTTAATAATGTTATACATCGTCCGCTTAGATACTCCAGTATAGGTCCCACATTTAGTGGCTATTTCACAGAAAGTGAAATAAAGTCTTTTCGAAGAGTATTAAATACATTAAGAACAATATTTTTTGTTCTTTATGCTTTATGTACACTAGGTCGTTTACGCGTACTTGTGCTAGCAATATTTTCTAATGCACTCGCCATTCTTATATAACTGTAAAATTATAATATATATTAATACAAAATTCCGAATCAATTAAATTATATATGATATGGCTATGAATAAATAAAGTCTGACTTATCTGTCAAAAGAAAAGGTTTATTACAGTAAAAATCATGGAAACATGATTAAATATAGACGAAAACTTTTATTAGGTCAATCAGATGTGTTTTCATTTTAACAACAAATAAATATTAAAGGATGAGGTATAAATAAAATGTCTACCTCTTGAACCTGTACTACGTTCTGCAAATTAAATTACAGCACTCCTTTCTTCTCTAGATATAATCATTTACTAAAATTATACTTATGTCCAATAAATGGACGTCCACTGGATATCAATATGCTGTCAAATTAATGTTCATAAATGGACATACACTGGACTTCCAAATACGACTATCGAGGTTCTGACCCATAGATAAATTAATAAGTAATATAAACCGTTTAAATGCACGGCACTGGTAACAAGTCGTAGTTCCGGCCATACTATTTGAAGCCACCATCGCACACTACACATTTCTTTGGTTGACTTGACAGTTAGAGGCACCATATAAAGGAATAAAATTAGAAAGAAGGGTGTCAAGCGTAACCGCGGTTCATTCAAATGTCATTTATTATATATTTATATTTTTTGGTATTCATTATTGTTAAGAATACCCTTAAAAAATATATCAGAATCGCAGAAATGACTCTAGACCACCCCTGTAACATTTACAAAAGGTACTTTTAGACGGTCAGATCAGTTCTCCGTTCAGTCTTAGTTTCATTCGAACTGTCAGTTACCTGTGTGTGTAAACACAAAAAACTGTAAAAAAAAACTGAAACTGATACGGAGCTGTGGCTCGATGGGTATACCAAGTTATCGTATCAGTTGTCAGTTAAATGGATGTAATTTCCAAACTGAACTGATAATTGTACTGAAACTGAGACTGAACGGAGAACTGATCTGACCATAGATTACTTGAATAGATGGGAAACTCAATGGTAAAATTCTGAGTCGATGTGCTGCCATCTATCAAATTGGAGTGGTACTAAAATTCAATATGGCCGCCACGAGCGGGCTTTTTGAAATTTAACTTTGTAGTAGCGCAAAAATGTAATAAAGAAAATCAAATAAAAGCAAAAAAAATTGGAAAAATATTTGACTAGTTTTAAATCATAAAACAACTATATTGACTGTTTTGTGATTTGAAACTAGTCAAATATTTTGCCAATTTTTATCTTTATTTGATTTTACTTCATTATATTTTTGCATTAATTTCAAACTTGAAATAAAATGCAATTTATTTTATTTTTTTTTTATTACAGTAAATTATCATCATTATCATCATATAATTTGTCTTTTTAAACATGGAAATACTCAAACAAATATGCATTTACACCATTTAAATAATTAAATATTTATAAAACAAACCTATCAAAAATGTTTTCTGTAACAAAATCAGCATATATATAAGTGCTCAAGACCTTTATAAAAGTTTTGTGACTTAGAGTGGCAAATAAGTTTGAAAAAATTGAGGTTGAAGCATCCATCATCCTTTTTTACTATAGAAGCAAATTTGAGTGTGGATAAAATTTGCCATAAAGTTATTGAGTTGGCTAGTTAGGTTGAGGAGCATTTCTTCATCCGATAATTGTTTTCTTGATTCATTTATACAGCACTTGTAGTTATCAAATTTTTATTCATCATGTGGCCACCATGATAAATAAATTTAACTTTTGAGCATAAATTAAACTTACACACGTTTGGAACCTTAAAGATTTTAGGGTGTTTTCTTGTTTGATGTCAATGGAATTGAATCAATTTTTGATATTGATGGCTGAGGCTCAAATATTTCATCGATCGACAGGGTATTTTGGAGGGCCAACATTCTTTACAAAAATTATCATTTAAAAACTGAAAACAAAAAGAAATTTAAATAACAAACCAATTATTTTAAAACTGAATCAAATACAAGTTTGTAAATATTACTTACCGTTGGTACAGTGATGGTGCATTTTTCTTAAGACACTTATTACAATTTAGGGGACGACTGCATATTTAATGTGGTATAAATTGCATTACTACCAATATCTGGGAGTGCTTTATTGTTTGCTGCTGAAATCCATCTTCCCATCTTTTGAAAACATGCTTAAAATTGGAAGGTGTTGAAAAATAAATCTAGATTCTAGATGAATCAAAATTCAATACACCTTCGTGCTTCAAATACAATAGCCATTTTATTTTATGAGTTTGAAGTTTTGACAACTGACATGACAATTCGATACGAGCGCCATCCCGTTAATTGGAGTGGTACTTAATTACCAGCCTCATGTTTTTCCTAAAAGTACCTTTAAGTATCAATTCAGAGCTAGATTGGCAAAGTCAATAAAGTGAAAACAACTAGCGCGGTTGTTATCTAATACAGATGCACGAATTTGAAATCGATAATAATGACTGGACAAAAGAAAAATAGTTGGTAATATGCTTGCGTGAAATGATTGTATGAGCCGTAACGGTTTTGGAACCACGCCGACGATGGCAAGGTGTCCTTTAGACTTGTCTTATCCATCATAACATACACATCGACAATTGGGTATAAACCCACGCTTTAATGGCGACCAAATTATAAATATTCTGAGTAAAATATGTGTACAAAGTATAAATAATTAATAAAATATAGTGTGGTGTTCTTCATGTAAAAATAAACAGTGCTAAACGCAGATGTGCTTGTTTCTTTCTATCATCGATCGTTAACCCAAAGCCGGCAGCTTGTGAAAACATTTAATTACAGTCCGCTTCAGAATCATAAAATAATAAAGCCTGCAAAAGGTAAGATCCTTACCAGGCCCCATGACAATTATTCTAAAAAAAATTAATATTTACATTAAAATATTGTATTTACATAAATATTAGTTTTTTAAGTAATAAAAACCCAAAAAACATAAATAACATAAAATTACATTAAAATATTTGAAACAGGTATATTTTAATCATTTAATAAAAGTAAAATGCATTCAAACGTTTATTACATTCATATCATGTACTCAATATTAAATAACAATAACTGTAAGTGAAATTAATAGTAATCTCCTCTCATTCTTGGAAAAATGGACCAAATTTCAATGCAAGTGTTTCCTGTAAAAGCAAAAAATGTACATACCTACATCTTATTGAACAATTTATCTTATCAAAATTTTGCCCATTCTCATAAAAGTACAAGTTATTTTTAATTTGTCTAAAATTAGGTTATTTCTGATAATGCAATAGTTGATTTTAATTATATTTTAACTTTAAATTAACAAATATGTTCTAGTTGATCTAACAAATAAAATAAAGCTTTTTCTCTTTAGGATTTAAATTTTTGACTATACTTTCTCATTTTTTTGTTGCTGAACAGTTTTTCTCCTAATACTTAGTTAACTTTTACAACTAATTTCGTGTTTTTTATTGGGGATTAGCAAATCTGTCTTATGCTGCTGTGTCAGCCTCAACATTTTCTAAAATCTGACTCTCTAGTTGAGTATAGTTGGGTATGGTTGAAATGGATGTACTATTTATCTAATAAAATTGGTACAGAAATTGCAATTAGTTGTTTACGTTTTGAAAGGCTCTGGCAAAAATGATTTTCACAAAGATGGTGAATTTTATTATCTAAAATTAAATTTAAATTCTTAAACCAGTTCATGCGAATTTTAATATTGAAAGGAAAATAAAAAAAGGTTTTATTTGAATAACCAGCTTGCTGAATATAAGAATAATACTTAATTAAACAACTTTACCCGGGTCAGACATGTTTTGTTACAAATATATTAACAAAGAATTTAAAATTGATCCAAAATGAAATTATTATACTAGAAAACAATTATATAAAAAATCTATCACCTAATATTAAATTAAATTGTTAATACTTACTAATTACATTAAATCAGCAGGCTAATCATCTTATCAATCTTCGTAACCTAAATATAACTTATTTATGGAACTTACATCATAAAATATCTTTTATTTATGGGATTTCATCTTTTCGCCTTCCGCCATTCTGCTTTTCATTTTTTACGACGTCAACACAGTTGTCAAACCTCTCTTTAAAATATTCCAGCAATAGTATGGTCACAGTTTATTGCTAAAGAATCAGTTAGCTCACTCGGACCAGCTGAATGTTCCAAAATAACATCCACTCCAGGGATACAAATTCAGGATGCGCAGAAGATTGCTGTTTGAATCGGGGTTTGAATATAGGAGGTTGACATTAATTCTATTGGTTATGATTTGATTCTGTATGCGCCAGGGATACAAATTTGAGTTGCGCAGTGTATAAACTGGAACATTGAGATCAAAAGTGCCGACGCAGAGTGAGCGAACTGATTCATTAGCTATAAACTGTGATATGGTAATTGTATGGATGATATCGAGCACGACAAAAACAAAATAAGGTGCAGCGCTTGAAATAACTAATCTCATGAAAGTATGGCTCCAAATAGTATGGCTAGGTACTACGACTTGTTACCAGTGCCGTGCCGGTTTATCTTTCATATTAATTTATTTATGTTCTGACCCTCAACTGGATCTAAAATGGACGTCCATTGGACTATGTGTACTGTATGGGTGTATATTAAACAAAAAAAAACTATTTAGTACACATGTTTATATGAAATGTTAGTTACAAAATATACCAAGGAATTACCTCCTTCAATATTGACATGACATTTAAAAATATCCTATGTAATAGAAAAAAAAAAAATGTAAATAACATCATTTAAATTGTAATATAATTTTAATTTTAGGTGGGAGTATCAGATTTGACATTGATTCCTGAGCTTTATCCTGCATTGAGAATAATGTTTGCCGAACATTATGAAGAACTAGAAAATAAAGCTCTAAAAAGACAAGTCAAAGAGGCGAAACGAAAATTGTCATAACTTTTACATTTGCACAACTTATTCTTTGTCTTATTTATGCCTTTTACCTTAGGCCTCGGCTGTAATAATCGAACAGTATAACTTAACTTGAAATGGACTACATTTGTCTTGTCAACCTTTTACGTCATCAAGCAGAAGCCCTTGAATTCGTTAAGCAGGAATCGAAAGAAAAGCCAAAGCATTGTTACAAAAATAAAATCTTTGATTACTTTTTTATTTTATTTTATTTTTTCCCTTCCAAAATATATTTGAACTGGTTACAATAATTTTTCTGATTACAATGTATATAGTTTTTTAATGTAGACACATTTTTGATATTTGAAATTGGATACAAATCGCAATTTAAAACAATATATGTGTAAAGAACAAACAAACCTGGTTTTTAATGTAACAAAATTTTCTACTAAATTAAGTGAAGCAGTTGTAAAGGTAGAATAAAAATTACAGGTATATCAATTTAATTATATATTGGAGATAAAAATTGAACACATGTCAAAACGAATGAGAATAAAATAGTCAATGAGGCACGGAAGAAATTTAAAAATCTCTGATAACTCTGAACAAGATAAAATAATAATATACATATAAATACAGACTCTTCAACGCTACCTCTATCCCACGTGACTAAATTGATGTCATCAATTGGCTAAAACTAATAATATGACCTGAACTAAAAATCAGTCAGTACTAACCCTATTTCACAGACCTGATGCTCTAAGTTGTCATAAAAGTTACTAATGGCTATTTTTATTGAATTTATCAGATCAAAGCCAAGAAGTATGATAGTTGCAAAACGAAACAGATCTGTATTTAAAAGGATCTCTATAATTTTGGAAGTTATGAAAATAAATTGTACGAAGTCCTGGTAGGGGAAGCAGTGCTAGCGCAAGCTGCAGATATTTCGAGCACGTTAGGGCGATATTTTGTAATTTTGGCGTATCAAATATACTTATATATACACCCCACAAAAATTATAGCATCACTAAAATGTTTGCAATGTATGTTTATAAAAACAGGCAATGCTAAAAAACTAAATTTCTCCTCTAATAACAGAGAGAATAAAACCAAAAAATAAAATTTTGCGAAAAATGAGGCTAAAGTAGGCTATTAATTATAACATGCTATTATTGCTGGTACACTCCACAGGGTGTTACGAATTTTCCAACCAAAAACCTATATTATTGTAACATCCGGTATACACTCTAAAATTAAATTTTATTTAAAGAATCAAAAAGATTACTATTCCTGAAGAATCAACTTATCTTCCAAAAAAAAGAATATATAAATCAATCAAACGGTTCAAAAAAAACTCCAAATTTTTGTGGGGTGTATATTTTAATTTTTTTAATAGTTTAACGTAATACAATGAACAACCGAAGTTACCGTGTTGTAAATTGTAAAATTACTAGCAAAAAACTAAATTTTATAAATTTTCAGTAGCAAAATGGAAATTAAATCAAAGAAATAAACATATCTATAACTGTAGTAAGAAGGGAAAAGTAATTACAAACCCTTATTTTTGTAGCAACTGTGACGAAGTCACTAAATTTTCATTAGTTTAATTATAAAATGTTTAATTCAAGTTAATTTCCCTTTAGTTTAATTAACTTTAAGTATGTTTAGTTCAAGTTAATTTCCGCCTGATGAATTGAGAAACCCTCGTATTTTTGTTTCTTAATAGTTCCCGGTTTAAAATTTATTATTATTTGCTGGAATTCGAGTCCAGCGTTAAACGCTCATTTCATATAAAGGACCCCGCACTTTTTACATTGATTTTGGGTACTGTCAAAATTTGTTCAAATTTTAGTATGTTACTCCTCTGGATTCCATAATTTTATGCTCATTTAGGCTAATTTTATACCAACGTAAAAAAATTTCCGCTCCTTTACAGGAAAAATTAGGTGCTCTGCTAGCTTGATATCAAACTAGCAGAGTACCTTTGGATTTTTAAAATTTTGATTACGCCATAATTTTAGGCTAATTTTATACCAACCTAAAAAAATTATGCTCCTTTATACAAAAAAATAGGTACTCTGCTGGCTTAACAACAGGTACTTACTGCGTTTTTCATTAAAAAATTCAGCAATGTAAAAAAGTATATCGGCATAATTTTAGGCTCATTTAAGGCTAATTTTATACCAACATAAAAAAAATCCGCTCCTTTGCAGGAAAAATTAGGCGCTCTGCTAGCTTGACAATAAGACTATATAGTGTTTTCCGTTAATAAAATTGAGGAAACTGAGAAGTAGACACGACGTAATTTTAGGCTAATTCTATACCAACATAAAAAATTCCGGCTGTTGCCTTTAATGGCAAAATTATGTGCTCTGCTAGCTTGACAATACGACTTGACGTCATAATTTTAGGCTAATTTTGTACCAACATAAAAAAATGTTCGCTCCTTTATAGGAAATATTAGTGTTATTTGGAACTAAATAGAATTTATTGTAATGTGAGCCATTTTATTGTTCAGTCATGCTCTAACTCTCCAAGTCCCTCTCTGTCTTATTTGGCCTTTGAGGCTCAACTTGTCCGATTATCATACATAATTAAACCCCTTAAAACCAAACCTATGTGACGACTATGGCGGAAGTGGTTTCGAGACTTTTCCAGGTAAAACGCGATAGTGTTTCTAATTTTTGGCGAGAACGATCTAGAACCTGAAGGAACCTCCCACCATAATTTTAAATTGGTATATAAATATTGGTGGAGAATAACGCAGTTAGTTAGTTAGTTATTATATGGACAGTGAAGATAAATAGCGAACAGTTTAAAGACATCCGAAATATATATAAATTAGAATAATAGTGTTATAAAATAAATAAGTGTTTAAATAAATTATTAATAAATAAACTTGTTTTAAAATAAACAAACATCACATTGGTGTCGCGAAGTGAGATAGTGTATATAAATAGTGGACAATCATGGCTAAAAGACTGTGTGATTTAAAAGTGACCGAGTTACGTCGGGAGTTAGAAGATCGTGAGTTGAAGACGACAGGGAAGAAAGCAGAACTGGCAGAACGACTTAAGGAAGCACTAGAAAATGAGGGGTTTGGATTCGGAGACGTATCTATTTTCTGAAGATTCATCTTCTGCTATAATTTCTTCTATTTCCTCATTAGAAACTAAAGTTTCTTCAGACATTTCCTCATTGGAAAATAAAGTTTCTTCAGAAGTTTCTTCTATAAAAAGTGATATTACTTCCTTGGAAACTAAAGTTTCTTCTGACATTACTTCCTTAGAAAGTAAAGTTCGTCCGATATTTCTTCTTTAGAAGAAAAGGTGTCTTCTGACATATCTTCTTTAAAAACCGAAATTTCTTCTGACTTGGAAAGCAAAATGTCTTCCATGGAAAATAAATTTTCGTCTAATATTTCTTCTTTAGAAGAAAAAGTGTCTTCCGAAATTTCTTCTATAGAAGATAAGATTTCTTCTGTCGAGGAGAAAATAATGTCTTCCGTTGAGGAGAAAATAAAAGAGATGGAAAAGAAGATAGAAGAACTAGAACATTCAGACCCGGTCAAGGACGTTGAAATTAAGTGCCATGAGGTGGAGTCGAAGGTGAAATTGGAAGGAGCTGTAAACTCTCCTCGTGTTAAGACCCCAACTTTCGACGGAAAGATGTCATGGACGAACTATCTTAAGCAGTTCGAAACAGCTGCCAGAGCAAACGAGTGGTCTGAACGAGAGAAGGCAATAAATTTGACCATCGCCCTTCGAGGAGACGCTTTGGATGTCCTTCAGACTATACCCGTGGAAGAGACAGATGATTTTGAAAAACTCAAAAAGAGACTAAATATGCGATATGGCCACGAACACTTGGAGCATCTATACCAGTCACAGTTGAAGAATCGTAAACAGAAACGAGACGAGACTCTTCAGGAATATGAAGTAGATATTGCCAGGTTGGTGCGATTTGCCTATCCATCAGCTCCGGAAAAACATGATGGAATGTTTGGCAGTCCAAACATTCGTTGATGGACTCCGTGACCACGAGATGCAGAAAACACTTCGTCTAGCCCGTCACAAAACATTGGTCGATGTCCTGTCCGCTGCCCTTGAATATGAGGCAGCTACACAGGCCTCTGGTGGATACAATAAAGTGAGGACCCTAAAAGAGGAAGAAGAGGAAGGTAAACTCGATCAACTGGTGAATATGATAAAGGGCCTTACTGGCAGAAAGAATAAGACGAAGACTATCAGGTGCTGGAATTGTGGTGAACTAGGACATGTACGCAGTTCATGCAAACGTCCAAGGGTCACAACGAATCAAGACAACACGCAACAGGAAAACTAGAGCGGGTCGGCCTAGAGGGGGCAGCTTCGACCCGAAACCGTTCCAAAGACCCTCTCATACTGATAGTCTCTTTGAAATGTCGCGATGATAGTGTATACGTAGACGGCGAAGTAAATGGCAAAAAGTATACACTGTTGGTGGATACTGGAGCAACTAGGACTATTATACGACCAACAACTATAAATAACCGTAAGAAACTTCTACCAACAAGATTGCGACTACGAACTGCCACAGGTGATAGTGCCAACATCCATGGGGAAATCCAGGTTCAATTGGGAATTGGTACAGAAAAGTTCACTCGCACTGTTATTGTCGCTGATATCGAAGAAGATGTTATTCTTGGAATGGATGTAATGAACTTACATGGTTTCCAGTGATCAAAGTTGGTGCCGAAGAGGTATTTCTACATCCATATGGGGACAGTACAGTGCCAGTTGCTGTACAGGAGAATACGGTGGTACCCGGTAGAAGTGAAACCGTTATAGTAGCACGGCTTCAAGAAACTATGGAAGAAGGAACACCTGTCATGATGGAACCTTGGAACCACGATGAAGAGGTTGGACGAGGCATTCTGATCGGAAAGGGGTTGGTCACGACTGCTAAAGAAATTCCAGTCCGTCTTATAAACGTTAATGATCACCCGATTACCATCAAGAAAGAGACCAGAATCGGAACTTGTGTACCAGTAACTTCCATAATTCGTCAGACAACAACTTCTGATAATTCCAACGACAAATTTGAGCAAATGATTGCAGTTGCTGGTCAATTTTTGAATCCATTAGAGAAAAAGAAAATCAAGGAATTTCTTCGACGATATTGTGACATTTTTGTACCAAAAGGAGAAAAAAACGGAAGAACTTCTGTCGTAAAACACAAAATTGACACTGGTGACGCCAGGCCGATTCGTCAATCAGCTCGAAGAAACCAACTTCGAGAAACCCCTGACCTTGTCTTTGAAGAATTTATGGGTGCATATGGAGGTACTGGAAAAGCCAGATATGGTGTTACGACCGAGCAACAACAAGATCTGCTCTCGCTTCCGAAAGACTACTCGCTGGTCCATAGTAC